GGGGTTAGTGCCCTTTTGTCGATATGCATGTTTAGATGGCGACCAGCTCCATGGCTTGAAAACCAGTCAGAGGAGAAGTCGGAGAAAATTCGGAAGCGCTATCGCATACTTGTGGAGGGTGAAGCGGTGCCCGCGCCCATTCGGAGTTTCGCGGAGATGTGTCTCCCTCGAGTGGTGATGGAGGAGTTGCGTTCTCATAGCATCGTCAAACCCACTCCTATCCAGATGCAAGGTCTACCTGCAGTTCTCTCGGGTCGTGATATGATTGGTATCGCATTCACCGGCTCCGGCAAAACCATGGTCTTTGCCCTGCCCATCCTTATGTTCGCGCTCGATCAGGAGTCCAAAATTCCCTTTCTTCCTAGCGAGGCTCCCTACGGCCTTATTATTGGCCCCTCTGTAAGTTCCACTGCTTCGCTATCTTTTCTGCCTCTCTGAGTGGAATCGCACCACTTCCAGCTAGTAAGCAGGATGACATTTCGCTACATTACCACAACTTGTCTTACCATCTTAACTTTGATTGTCTAATACGCCTGTTCATTAGCTTTACTCGATTTCTGCCTGCATTTTACATGCAGGTAATTTTATTAATTGTACTCAGATAGTAGGACCCTTTTCGAATCAAAGTCTGCCTTGTGTTCCGAGTTGTAGAGTTGAATAAGTTGCCTTCCTATGCGGAATTGCATCGTAATATGGTAGCAGGGGGATGTGAGTTAGGCTTTTACTTAACTTTCCCATCATTCTTTATATCAGCGCGAGTTGGCACGTCAAACGCAGGATGTTTTGACACAAATGGCCTCCAAGTTAGCCGATGCCGGCTATCCAGAGGTGCGTATAGGTCTCTGTATCGGTGGCATGGCAGTTAAGGACCAAGTGGACAGTTTCCGTCGCTTTGGTGTTCACATCCTCGTTGCCACTCCCGGTCGTCTCATCGATCTGCTGGAGAAGAAGGTATTTAATTTGGAAATCTGCCGGTACCTTGTGCTAGACGAAGCCGATCGCATGATTGACATGGGCTTTGAAGAGGAGGTCCGAACCATTTTCTCCTACTTCAGGGTATCGTGTGAATTATAACTATTGCCATGCCTTGATTCATTGTCTAGTGGTGGTTATGTTGATGGAACCTGGTGGTGTTTTAGGGCCAACGACAGACTCTTCTATTCTCTGCCACAATGCCGAAGAAGATTCAGAATTTCGCCAAGTCGGCGCTAGTGAAGCCGGTCACTGTGAATGTTGGACGAGCGGGAGCCGCGAGCTTAAACGTTG